GTGCCCCAGGACATCCTTGGTGTAAATTCATTTTGAATTATAAATTGAACATTAAAAATTAGATTTATATTCAGGTTATGAAGTGTTAATAATGCTGGAAAAATATCCTTATTTGGGGTAGGCACAATATGAGCATAATCACACATTCAATCTGCAAAAAATCAGTTTATAGGCAAAATATTATTGTTGGTGACATGATTATTTATTGCTCTCGCACAAACACCTTGTTTCAAATTGCATATTTACAAGAAATTCATGTTGGTTTGTTTCTAGAATCCTCTAAACCACTTTCTGTCTCTTTTTTTTAGGTTATAATGTTTATAAATGCCATCTCAAATGTGTGGCCAGCAGCCATTATCACTGTGGCTTTTGCCCAAGAATCATTGGGAGAAAGGAGATGTTTATTAGTCACTTTAAAAACTGCTGCACTGAACATCCAACTACGTTGGCGGCGGCCCCAGCAACCACAACGACTCCTCCAGTGATGGCCCCGACGGCCGCTCCAGTGATGGCCCCGACGGCCGCTCCAGTGATGGCCCCGACGGCCGCTCCAGTGATGGCCCAGACGGCCGCTCCAGTGATGGCTCCGACGGCCGCTCCAGTGATGGCTCCGGCTGCTGCAGCAACATGGCACAATATTTCCACAGCCCCCAACATTTTGATGTCAAAGCGCAAAACCACAACATGTTGTTTTTGTAGCCTACAACTAAAAAGGAACATTTTTCACATGATGTTCTGTTCAATAAATGTTCATTGAGGAAAACGGTATCAGTGTCTTATTGTATATTCATCACAGTGAATGCAGTGCATGCTGAACTTGCCGGACCATATACTGTAGTTGAAAGTACACAATGAAACACTGGCTTGCTTGTATCAAATCAATACAATTCCCACATGCCCTACCCCGGAACCTGCGGTCTTCAGACTCTGGCCCCCCGCACCAACCTGCGATCCTTCGGGGACAGAGCCTTCAGTATGGCAGCCCCCACTCTCTGGAACGCTCTCCGTGCGGAGATCTGCAACATCCCCACGCTTGACGCCTTCAAAAGGGCCCTCAAGTCTGCCAAGGTCTTTGGCCCCAAATCTATTTGTGTTGTCTGTCTAACTGTTCGTCTAACTGCCTTTTGTTATGTTTGTTTCTACTCCTGTTCTTTTTAAAGCGACCTTGGGTCTCATGAAAGGCGCTATATAAATCCAAGTTATTATTAATACATCATTGGAACGGTAAGAATCTCAGCTACAACACTGACTAAAGCCTTCCCATCTCCAGTATGCCTACATGACAAGCATTTTTATAATATACAGTAAACATATCTTTGACTTATTAGAGAAGAGACAATCATCAAGCCAGATACCAAGGTATTTACAACAGGCAACCACTTCAATTACTTTTCCTTTATGTTATTGTTATTTGGTTTTTATTAGTGCTTTTGTCGTTTTGAAGGAAATTAAAATACTGTATTGAGTTGGTTTCTTCTGTTTTGGAAGCCTTGTATATCTTTTTGGTCTTGTTAGAAATACCCCATGGTAAAACAGTGTTCTAGCAGCAGTTAAAGAAGCTTAGTTTGCTGTCTTAGACTGCCAGTTGTATTAAGATGGTTTGTTCACAATTTACACATAAAACCTAAATGTTCATCTGTTTATTGTTCTTCTTCCTTTATATTCAAAGCATGTTGATTGTCTATTGGCTATATCTTGACATTATGTTAATTTGATCATACTTGCCATACATTTATTTTAATTTATGCGATTCCTTCAAAGGTTTTGTAATAGACCCCTAGTACTTTTAATTTATAAAGTAATAATAATACATGTGAATGATTGAGCTCATTAGTGGCCTGACTGGCCCTCCTAATTTGTTCCTTAATGAGCCCATGATGTGATAATGTATATCTTAAAACCTTTAACAACTATATTTAGATGTTCACAAATATCTACATTTATGTATAAAATACATGTGTAGCAGTTAGACAAACATAATCAATAGATCATCTCATTAATACCTATTTTATATATTAAAAAAAAGTTGACTAAACCACCGTTTGTTGACAAAATGATTTGGGTTGAAAGTTATACTGTTGTGTCTCAAACGGATAGACTAGGTTATTAATTTATTTGCCTAATAGTTGCTTAAAATGCTACAATAACATTTGCAATTCGTTTTTAATCTGCCATGTACGATCTCAATAATAATAAGTGTCGTCAATTCGCTTTTAATCTGCCATGTACGGTAATGTCTCTCAGCCACCGTAGTGTCGTGTCAGTTGGGCGTGTCGTGTAGTGGGCGTGTCGTGTAGTGTCGTGTACTGTCCTTTTTTTTTTTTTTTTTTTTTTTTTATTGAACATTTTTTTAAACATACAAAAGCTCGGTGAGGATATCATCAACTTATCAACATAAGTTCAAGACATTCATTCACAATAAGACAAAAAAACATAACTAATACATCCAGTAAGAGCCAGGGGGAAAGAAAAAAGCATAAAGGCACAAAAACATTTAAGAGGCATTAAGCTTACTTAAAATAATAACCATTTGGAAATGTCATTGCAAATCTTTATAGACAGGTTACAAGATTGTATTTTTCTAAGGGACAGAAAAAAGGACTTGAACTCATTTATGAAACAGGGAAAGGAGGGCTTTTTTATTATTAGATTGGTTGTTACTTAAATTAACAAATATTCCGGCCTTCAAAATATATCACATTTTATATTATATTGATAATTTGGACTCTCCCATTTCTGATTTGGTAAATATAATTATTATTTTGGGTAAGTGTCGTGTACTGTCCGTGGCCGCAGCTAGACCATATTGTAAACAGAAGCATACAGCGGAAGCGGAAGTTTTTTTTCTTCTTCTCTCGGTTTTTTGGCGGATTGCAACTTTAAGGTGCATACCGCCACCTACTGTACTCGCCGTGAAGTTGTTTGCGGCCTGCCAGGAAAAGCTAAGCAGAAGAAGAAGAAGTGACGTCAGCGGCTCATTTGCCTAATCCACCCCCAGGAACTCATTTTGGTGTGAACGCGATCTGCTTTAGTTCGTCAGAACTAAAAGAACTCTCATGAACTAAAGTTCTCAGGAACTACTGTGGGAAAAGTACTTGGTGTGAACGCGCCTATGACTTTGTATACTGCAGGGTAGCTTGTGAATTTACTCCAGGTGGAACTAAAGTCTGATTTAACACTTGATTATATTTCACATCATTCATCCAGATCTGTAAAGTAACTAAAGATATTAAATACATGTAGTGGAGGAAAAGTACACCATTTACCTCTGTATCGTGGTTGAGTAGAATTACAAAGTATTAAAAAATGGAAATACTCAAGTAAAGTACAAGAATCCCAAAATTGTACTTAAGTACAGTACTTGAGTAAATGTACTTAGTTACTTCCACCTCTGTACTTAAGTAGCAGATCTGAGTACTTCTCCCACATCTGCTCTTATTCTTAATGTCATTAACTATGATTTTATCATAGCATCATATTCAGATTGTGACTATATGGCCAGCTTTTTGTCTGGCTGTTTTGGACTTAATCTGAAGGTAGCAAATATGTGGTTTAACATTTAAGAAAACATGACATTTATTAAGTGTGCATTTTAAAGGTCAGCACTGAGATTATCATCGGATCCCATATATAGTCAGTGAGTCAGTATTGGTCTAATACTCAGTTTTATACAAATGTAAGGAAAAGCTCGGTTGGATGCTACTCAATCGGAAGCTGTTGGTACCTGTTCATGTGGATAGTTATGTAAATTGTAATCCCTGTAATGATGCTGTATGATGTCCTTTTTGTTGTTCTGTTTATGTTTTTATGTTTCATGTGGAACCTACTTGAGCGGAGGCCTGTACTACGAAGCTGGATTTTCGCTTAGCCGGCTAAATTCAGGGAAATCTCGGGCTTTCCGGTCCTACGACACTGGTTCTCTTTTTAGCGGGCTAGATTTCCATGGTAACTTATGCTGAGCGGCAAACCTGCTCCGGAGCAGGTTAGGTGGCAGGCTAAGAGATCAACTCAGTGAAAGCACCGCCTGCTGACCAATCAGAGCTCCGTGTGCGGAGTTTAAAGCTATCAATTCATATTACAGGATAGAGGAAATACAGAAAAACTGCCGTTGCAGGAAAGACAGCCGGCCAAAATCAACTGACTGTGTGAACGTGAAAATTAATACAATATCCCCTCCCATCTTCAGAGCAATCTGACTATTATAACATTAGCGTTAAGAAAGCTTACTTAAATATCTGCCACGACATAAGTAACCGGATCAGAGTAACATTAAGTACAGTCCGCGGCACTGTGAGTGCAGACGTCGATGTGTGCCATTATCATTCATATCATATCGCATCATAATGTATCATATATTTCCTTATCTGAGTCAGCTGAGCCGTATCTGGCCGTGCAACACTCACAGTGTCACATACTGTATGCAGAAGTATTATTTTAAGCAACACATTAAGTTGACGAAACACTCGAGTCAAATGCAATTAAAGTCAGATCGTGTCTTGGACGGGGCAGTGATTTCATAAACCTGTTAATGTACGCATTCAAACACTTTTTCTTTTACCAGCTGTATTCACCTTGCAGGTGCAGCTATGTGGCTTTTATCCTGGATAAAGTGTTTAAGTCATGGATGTTTAAAGTTTAACTTCTTCATATTTGACTAATATTAAAGTTCACTTTTCATTCAGGAAGTATGACGCTGCGCTGTCAGTACGGTTGTCCGTGTTTGAGATTGGTCGAATGCTCCAAATACCACCCCTTTCATGTGAACGCGCACTAGATAGGACACTGCTGGCTTGAGCGATCCACTTGATAACCGGCATCGTAGTACAGCTTAGCGCCAGCGCGTATGTTTTGGCTTAGGCCAACCGGCTAACTCCAACATATCCAGGTTAAGTTGAACCAGCTTCGTAGTACAGGCCTCAGGTCTCCCTTGAAAAAGAGATCAATTATCTCAATGGGATACACCTGGATAAATAAAGGTTTGAAATGAAATGAATATAATATAACATATATAATACAATATTTATTCATACTGGAAAGAGGCGTCATTAAAGTCTCTCGTTGGAACCAGTTCTGGTTTAAAGGTTTACAGGATGGATCAGTTGTACAACACATATGTAATCACACTGCATGATATCAGAGGGCAATGACCTCTGACGGTCAGATGGATCAGGTGACCTCTGACCCCGTGAGGAGGCGCTGCAGTCCCACTAGAGCTTCTTGGGGACGTTGGTGATGATGGGTTTGGGCCGCGTCTTGAAGATCAGCTTCCGTTTGATGAGCGCGGTCACGCAGTAGGAGGTGGAGGGGGCTCCTGGCTGCTTGGTTTCCATGGGTAACTGTGGGACATCATTGTTTTCATTGTCGCTGTCACGGCAACCCTGGCTGTCCTGCAAATGGCTCGAATGCTTGGTGAGTACAGCAAAGGGTTTTTCCAGTTTCACCTGCTTCCCATAAAGAATATGGTGCCCTACAATGAGCACTGGCACCCCCTGGTGGAGGGAGGAAGAAAGACAGCAGCATTAAGAGCCAGGACTAGTTTCAACTTTTAGTGATAATGTGATAATAATAAATTCAGTTGAACATCACAGAAGAAACACAAATGCATCAAAACTTCACAATGGATATGCTGAGATAAGTGTTTGCAATATATGCTTGAAAAAAGACAAGCACTACAATCTCCTTGTATATTTCGAGGTTGGGCCTAAGAAAATTAAATAAAAAATGACTATAAATAAAAAAAGAGAAACTAGTTTGTTGTTTTATTTACTGTAAATTATTAACGCATGTGGTTATTTATTAGAGTAAAGCTTACAACTTAGATCTTCAAACAGTATCACCTGCTGGGGTTTAGCTGCTGTCCTGTGCCTTCTTAAATCGTTTGTTTACGTCCCTCACTTCCGTTTCGCTTCTCATTTGCTAGCTGAACAGCTGATCAGAGTGGTTTCTTGGCCCGATAGCTTGTGTCCGACACACGGCCGATTCAACATGTTGAATCGGCCGTGTGTCGACCGTGAAAGGCCAAAGGCGTGTCACGGCCGAGGGTTCGGGACACACCAAAGTCTTTGGGCGACAGGGCACGCTTCGTCGCCAGACAACCGAAGACGGCCGATTTCGGCCTGGTGTGTCTGGGCCTTAACACCATCGGAGGACTGCAGCGCCGATGGCTAGCAGCCTAGCGGCAGACATCCATAAAACACTAGCTTTGACTGCTCCACTGTCATAAACGGCACAGAGGTAAAGCCTAGAAATCCTGTATTTAAAAAACACTGTTGCACAAAAATGTTTCAAACAGTGAATCAAGCTAAAATAGTGTGGGATCCTCGGTGCAAGAGGAAGGGACTATTCAGTGTACATTTACATTTCCGCAGCATCTGCAATAAACATGAAACTAGAACATCTCCTCCTTGAGTCCAATATTGACTGTTTGGGAATATCTGAATCTTGGCTAAAACATTCGTCACCATCTTCTATTGTATCTATGTCAGGATATAATGTGTTTAGGAAGGACATACTGAAGGGAAAAGGAGGGGGTGTGTTGCTTTATGTGAGGAACACCTTTACTTGTAGGGAGATTGCACTCCCAGCTAATATTGACCACCATGATTTGCCTGTATCGACAACCAAGGTTGGATTTCTATGACTCCAACAAAGAGCTAATTATTCTAGGAAACTTTCATATCAACTGGAATGACAAACAAAATAGAAAAAGCTTAAAACGGATCACTGATAAACACAACTTAATACAACTAATGGATCAACCGACTAGAATAACCAAAACCTCCAAGACTATGATAGATTTATTATTTACAAACAAAGCTGACAGAATAGTTAAAACCTACAACTTACTGACTGGTCTTTCTGACCATAATCTTGTTATTTTTGCCAGGAAACTCACACAAAAAGGTTAATGGCCACACCTAAAACCCCTGCCTTGGGATCTCGCTTCATCCCCAAAAACCTGCAACAACGTTTTATGGAGGCAGTGAAAATGATTGATTGGGGGGACACTCTCTCCTCTGAAGACATTGGTGAAAACAGTAATCTGTTTATATCTAAAATTAACGATGCAATGTCTTCCTTTTCAAGAAGAGGGTGCCTTAGGGACAGGAAGGGACATCATCTTCCCTGGCTGAATCTACAATGCAGGAATCTAATGAAATCTAGAGACCAACTTAAAGCAGAGCTTAAAATCCGGACTATCCACTGATAGACAGAAATGCACTCATGCTCGTAACAAGGTAACACAAACAATAAGACAGGCCAAAGCTAACTTCTTCAGCAATATAATTGAAGGTGCGAAAGGTAACAGTAAAAACTTTTGGCAAATCCTAAATAAACTATTAGGTAAACATAAGAAACAGGAAAATAATAATGCTCTAGAATAAAAAATCGATGATGCCCTGATAAAAGACCCTGCAGTGTTGGCCAGCTCTCTAAATGAGTATTTCATAAATAGTGCTCTGGACCAGAGTTCCCGTTAGCCGGTAATTACCGGACAATGACCGGTAAAATATGCTGAAGTCCGGCAAATCTAAATCTCTCCGGTCAAAATGTCCGGTCAAAATAATTTTCCCTTAGCGCAATACCGCATCAGTTGCGCCACTTATGTGACAGACAAGAATAGTATGTGACAGACAAAAGAGTATGTGACAGACAAAAATTGTCAATTCTAATGTCTAACACTTAATGTGGAGAAAGAGATGTCCTGTATGGGTTGATTGTGCGTTGATCTGTTGGTAATGCCTCGGGGTTCCGGTGGGCATGTAAACAAATGCATAATGCTGCGCTATACTTTGTGGCCTCATCCGGTTGCATAGCGACGCTTATTGTTTAGGTGTCTTTTAACAAGCAGGTAGTCATATCATTAGCTAGAACTAGCTAGATCTGATCGATATGGACATAAATGCGAGTAAAGTCTAATCTGACAGGAGAGAGAGATCGGCTGCTGCTGACGAGTCGACACGCAGCTCTGCATGATCCCCTGCAGCGGCGAGCAGAGCAAAACACACTTCAGGTTAGAAAATCACACGTAGCTATTTTAATTACCTCTCAAACTACCTAAACTAGTTATAGATATGTTTAGTTTTACTGTCGGGTCACTCATTACTGGATCCGCGAGCTGCATGATACTGACGGGCTGTCAGGAGAAGGAGAGAGCGCTCCGTTTATTATTCCCGCGTTTTTGTAAATTACTGTACACTTTTGAATAATGTAGTTAATCTACTATAATTAGTTTGTTTAATGTCGAATCATATCAATTTGTTTTAAAGCTCAATAAATAACAAAGAAGACCTTTAACCGGCACTTATCTAATTTTGTCCGGAAGATTTCAACTTTAACGGACATGTTGACCGGCAAAAAAATATTCTAACGGGAACTCTGCTCTGGACATTACAAAGCTCTTCCCGCCATCTGACATCTCACCTAGCCCGACTGTGGATACACACCCCGTTTTTGACCTGGAGGTAAAAAATATAATCTTAGGGTTAAGAGGTTCTAAGGCTAGGGATGCAGATGATTTAGACACCAACTTTATAAAGACACATATTGACAGTCTAATAAAACCAATTAGTATGCTAGTAAATCATTCTATCAGCACGAGGGAAGTTCCATCGTCCTGGAAGGTGGCCACGGTGACACCAATTTTTAAATCTGGGGATAAGGCAATAATGTCCAATTACAGACCAATCAGCATCCTCCACTGCGTCTCTAAGATAGCTGAGAAATGGGTGTCAAAACTAATCACCAACCATTTAGACAAAGGTTTCGCTCCACTCCACCCATTGCAGTTTGGTTTCCGTGCTCACCACTCAGCTAACTGTGTCTTTGTGGAAAAGGTTAAATGTATGTTGGAGCCCATATGTAGGTGCTGTCTTCCTTGATCTCAGGAAGGCTTTTGACACTGTTGACCACCAAGTGCTCCTTACAAAGCTGACTCATTTAAATTTTTCGGCAGATTTAATACAGTGGGTTAAATCTTACTTATCAAACAGAAAACAGTGTGTTTTGGTCGGAGCCAAATCCCCCTACCTTGTGGAACCCTGTTGGGGTTCCACAAGGTTCCATTCTTGGACCATTACTGTTTTCTCTGTATGCCTAATGTATGTCCTGAGTTGAATGTGCAAATGTATGCCGATGATGCGGTCATCTTTGTACATGGGAAAAACACTTAAATGATCTCATCATGTCTCTCTAATGCTTTGGACAAGGTTCAACACTGGCTGAACAACATTTGCTTACAGTTAAATGCAAAAAAAACAGTATGCATGATGTTCAGTAAACGACCAGTCAAAATGGAAGGATCCAACGTGTTTTTAAACGGAGCAGAATTAGAACCAGTCCCCCACTTCAAGTATCTTGGAGTCATACTGGACTCGAATTTGACTTTTAAGAAACATATTAAGAAAGTATCCAACACCGTTAAATTCAACTTGCAACATTTTAAACAAATTAGACCTTTCTTAACTGTCAATGCTGCAAAGTCATACCTCCACTGTATGATTCTATCCCACATTGAATACTGTTTTACAAACTGGTTGTTTGCTTGTGCCACAAACCTGAAACCTATAGAACAGCTGTACAAGAGAGCTATCAAGGTGTTTGACAGAAAGCCTTATTCATATCACCACTGCACCATCCTTGATAAACACAATTTCTTGAGTTTTGACCATTTGAAGTCTTTTAAAAGTATGTGTTTTATTTATAAATGTTTACATGGACTGCCCCCCCCCCCCCCCCCCCTTCCTTAGGGGAATTCATCCACAAAAAACACACTGGACGCTGCACTAGGTCAGAAACCAGAGGAGACTGTGAGGTCCACCGCAGACGGACCACCTTTGGACAAAATGTCCTCTTAAAGGCAGCTCTTTGTGGAACAGCCTCCCAACTGAGATACGGGATTGTTTCACTCTCAATAGTTTTAAAGGACAACTCAAAGAATGGTTAAGAAACAAACAGACGTGTAATCACCGCTAACTGCCCTTTAACACAGGGGTATCTCTTCTTGCACTTTAGGTAGCTCTTTTTTTGCACTTTAGGTAGCTCTTTTATCCTCTCCTGCACTTTATATGTCGTAGCTGCTACATTGTACCGCCTTGTGGCGTACATGCTGCTCATGCTCTTTCTGCATATCATGTATTTCTGTTTGCCATGTATATAAATGTTATGTTCATAAATGTTGTATGTGACGGGACTACGGATGGAAACTAGCTCAAAGCTCAAATCCGGCTCATTTACATTTAAAAACATTATTTTGTTTAAAATGTTCATTAATGTGCACTGTCCCGGTTCAAATAAACAATTAAATAAATAAAAACATTCCATGGAATATAACAAAGTGTATCTCGAGCCGGTTTCTCAAACTTACCTACCCCACCTTTAAGCTTTACGTTTTTTTAATTCCACACGTTTGAGTGATAATATGCACAGTAGTAGATATTCTTTATTTAGATGATTTATTCAAATCGTTTTTAACAATCCTATTTAATGGAATTCATATCATTTAATATGAGTGGACAGCAGTGTGAGCAAACATTTAGTTTCCCTTTCCCATTTTTTGTTTTAGTTCAAATGTTGTGAAGTAATGTATTTTTCACTGTTGTACACATTTATAAAGGCCAGCATGAAACAACGTAACACATATGTGATTAGGACGCACAGGAGAAAGTATCTGGATACGCTTTTAGGCCCAGGCTCCACGGGAACGCATACGGCAAAACGCATAGGATTAACGCAAACGCAAACGCCAAAAACCTTCCGTCCACACGCAATATACACCGGATAGTGTCTGTTCACACGAGACAGCTCCGTTTAGATCCAACCGCTGGAAAAGCTGCAGTACATATGCCGAGCCTGTACGTGGCGCTGTAACTTCCTCCACAAAAGCAGCAACTTCCTCCACAAAAGCAGCGAAGAAGAATGGTTGTCATGGCTGCACTTCTGTTTATTCTCCGCGGGGGGGGCCGAGGGATCCGGGCAGAGTTTTTCGCCGGTCAACGTGTGTTAAAGTTTAAATCTTCCGGACAAAATTATAAAAGTGCCGGTCAAAGGTCTTCTTTGTTATTTATTGAGCTTTAAAACAAATGAATAACGACTATATATAATAATATATAATAATAAAATACACGGAGCCTGTCTCTTTTTCCTCTCTTCTGACAGCGTCAGTGTCTGTCTCATGCAGCAGCTGATCCAGTAATGATGACTCGACAGTAAAAATAAACATATTTATAACTAGTTTAGGTAGTTTGAGAGGTAATTAAAATAGCTAAGGGTGATGATCTGACTTGAAGTGTGTGTTTTCCTCCCGCTGCATCACAGCAGGAGGAGCTGCGTGTCTCCGTCCTGTCAGATTAGACTTCACTCGCGTTTATGTCCATATCGAGATAAAGATAAATAATCTGAATTCAGTGTGCAGTGTACTTTTGCGGGGGTGAGCAGCAGAGGTGGGGAGAGGCGGGGCTATTGAGTCGTCATTATCAGAAAATGATGACCGTATAGGCTACCACACGGAGCCGTTGGACCCCCCAGAGCGCTCCGTTCCCAGATCTATCCACCTTTGGACCCGTTGTCGTTTGCAGGGTCCGTCTCTATCGTTCCGTTACGGCGTCGTGTAGCTTAAAGGGCTATACGCATGAGAAATATGCGGATACAACCCGTTTTCGTTCCCGTGGAGCCTAGGCCTAAGTCCCTCTACCCTAAAAGTGTAGTTTTCCCACAGCTGCTGACGCATCGTAATAACGTTGACCAGTGTCTCTCTTTACAAGTCCTGATGAATTCTCCTTCACATCTTTCCTTAACACCATGACTGTTTTCACAGGGGTTGAGGAGAAGTCGCTAGTAAAAGACTTGGAGACGTAGCTGGAGACACGGGACAAGATACTCTCTGGAGGCAGGTGGAGAGTGAAACAATGTCGCAACTGAGAGAAGACATGTAGAAGGCACAACCGAACTTACCTATTTAAAAAAAGATTATCAAAATAGTTGGCAATTAATTTAACAAGAGAATTGTATAATCTTTGCAGATAGCGCATTATGTATGTCATTCTTTACTTTCTTTATGAACTTTAGAGGTGTCTCTGAGCACTGGAGAAAGAGTTATGAATATACATGATACAAATATCACATATTATTATTATGATTGTTGTTGAATGAGCCTGATTTGTTTGTAACTCTAAAACTAAGTTTGCCTTTGATAGCAGCAGTGTGCGGTACCGTGTTCACCTCTCTGGTGTAGAGCAGGTCTCCCATCACATTCCCTGCCAGAGCAGAATTGTGTCTGGAGAACATCTCTCCCTGCAGCTCCACCAGCAGCCATTCAGCAGGACTGCTGCCATCCACACTGGATCTGCAAGAGCACCAACACAGCCTCACATCAACTGAAGGACTTCGTTATACACATGAGATATCCTCCACCACATGTCAGAGTCCTGCATTATCAACCCTACATAAGTAAAAGTATGTAAGTATTATCATCCAAATTCACTTAAAGTATGAATAGTAAAAGTAGTGATTGCGCAGTAAAACTTTCTCTGATTTACTTTGTGATTAATATTTCTGCAGCATTCATGTGTATGTTGTTGAGTTTTCCTGATGTAGGAGTTTTTAAGGTTCGGTTCAACTCATTTATATACTGGTAAATCTACAGCAATACATGATATTAATATGTATGTAGCTCTGTTGCTGTCCTGTGAGAAGCACTACCTAAAGTCAACTTGTGAAGATGCATTTTCCACCGGATCCAAGAGGATACTAAATGTTTTTCAGCGAGAAAGAGAAGACTTTTGTCAATACAAACGACAAACACCTTCACCTATCAGGGTTAAACACAGGTACACGGTTTTCACTGGACAAGAAGCTTTTACAAAACTTTAATCTAAAAATCACTCATAAATGTTGCTCAATAGGAAGTGCAACGCTTCCCTCTGAGATGTAGTGAAATAGAAGTATAAATGTGCTAAAGTAAAGTAACTAAGCTGAGTACTTAGTAAATATACTTAGTTACATCACTCTGGTTCACTCCCTACATTCTCCATAAACGTGTTTATGTGTGCTATATCTCATTCACAGCACCGTTACTCTTCTATTACAAATGATCAGTGGTGTAAAGTACATTTACTATAGTACGTGTACTTGAACTGAGTATTTCAATGTGTTGCTACTGTTTACTTCTACTCCACTACAAATCAGAGGTTAGTAGTGTACTTTTACTCTATTTATTTATTTAATAAATGTTAGTTACTTTATAGATGTGGATAAATGATGTGAAATATAATCAAGTGTTAAATCAGACTTTAGTTCCACCTGGAGTAAATTCACAAGCTACCCTGCCTGTTTGAATACAGAGTCATTCAAACTAGCTGCACCTTTACCAGCTTTGAGGACACTTTAATGATCAATCATTATAAAACATATCATATATATTATTCTGAAATGAACCAATCTGCACCATGACTACTTTTACTTTAGATACTTTAAGTCAATTTTGATGATAACACTTGTGTACTTTTACTTGAGTAACCTTTTGAGTGCAGGACTTTTACTTGTAACAGAGTATTCCTACACTCTGGTACTACACTATCTGAGTACTTCCTCCACCCAGGGACTCCTCCAGGCGGTATACACAAACCTTTAGGCTGAACACATGCAGTGTATCTTACCTTATGACTATCTGAACCATCGTGCTGTTAGAGAGCGGACACCGTGCTGCAACACGAACAGGATGAAACAGACCGACACGTTACCGAGGCATTAAAAGTGCCCAACACAGCAGTAACTATACGAGAACAATAACCAACAATAGCATTCAGAACGCTGTGTTTATACAGAAACGTTTACAGTATGTGCTTCATAGTCTACTAGTATTTCCCGCCACCGGTTTCCTGCTGTCAGTGTGATGACGTCGTTCCGGTTTGTGCAGTGTGTTTGTCAAATTCATTTCCGGTTCATAGGTTCACAACGTGGCTGCGGATGTTTTCCAGCGTGGAGTTCACAGCTAAGAAAGTGTAGACACTGTGAGGATAAACAGCAGGTAATTGTTCTATTATTATTATGTTATTATGAGTTATGACTGTTAAACTGAGCTTTATTTATATATACTGACAGTGTGTCACCCTGGGAGGTGTGTGTGTGTGGTAACGGACAGCTCTACGGTTCTGTTTTGCTGTCGCGTGCCTAGCTGTAACAGTCTTCCTCTTGCGTTTTTCCTCAAAGTAAAATGGCTGAGTTCAAGGTGCACCGTGTTCGCTTCTTCGACTACATGCCCACTGCTATCCGAGCCATGGCGTTTAATCCCCGCACGGAGCGGCTGGCTGTGGCCCGGGCTGATGGAGCTCTGGAGATCTTCAACTTCGCGGACAACTACTTCCAAGAGAAGGTAACCTGCACTAAAATACAGCTTTCCCTCCAGCCCCAAGTTTTGTCCAGAGAAATAAATAAAATACAAAAAAACACAACTCTGCTCACAAACTATAAAGATAGAGAGATAGGTACTTTATTTGATCCCAAATTGGGAAATTATTTAGTTACAGTAGCAGGAGTGTGTTCAGGTATTACAATCTTCAAATAAAATAAGTAAAACACAAATAAAAGGTAAAAATAAACAAGAATAAGGCAATAACAACCATATAGTAAAAACAATAGACAATTTAAAAGGACTTTCCTACAGGACCCACTCTGTCTGGAAAGGCTTACTTCTGCCCCTAACAACTGAACAGCACTAACATTCAAACTGTCTTGAATGAATGAAATTAGGCAGCCGGTGGTGTTTTAAAGAAAGCTTCAGTTCCACTTTTCTTTCCATGCGCTTTCAACATGTTTTGATGTTGATCCACAGGTCATCCCAGGGCAGGACGGCCGGGCTGCGGAGGCCCTGTGTTGGCTGGGCCAGCGCCTGTTCAGTGCCGGGCTGAATGGAGAGATCACAGAGTATGACCTGGAGAACCTGAGACCCAGGTACACAGTGGAGGCCTATGGAGGACCAATCTGGAGCATCAGCAGCAACAGCCAGGGAACACTGCTCGCGGTCAGTCAGCAACTTGTGGATCACTCTATTCTACTCCTGATGCTAATATTCTTCCGCCCAGCGTGGTGACCTTTCTCGAAGTCGATAATAAATTGACTGAATGTTTTCTAATCAGGTTGGTTGTGAAGACGGGACAGTGAAAATATTTGAAATACTGGAAGAGAGGATTCAGTTTCAAAGAAACCTCGACAGGCAAAAGGGTAAGATTCAAACTGACCCAGAGGTATTTCTGCTCTTCAACTGGCAGTTGTATAAATATATAGATACGCTTACATTGGACAGTGTCCAGCAATGTTATCACACATTTACCCTGTATCATAGCTAACCTAATAACAAAAGGCCTGTGATTACATTTACATTTTTTGAAATAATTAGTGTTATTCGCAAAAATGTAATGTGCAATATTGAACTATTTCTCAATCCAGGTGTTTTACTCAGAAACACCATTAGTCAAATTATTAATGAAATCCATGCAAAAAATGTAGCTTACAGTTGACATGTATTGGGACATCCCTAGCTTGAATAATAACACAATGATTGAGCTGCTTGATTTGACAAGTTATGATCAAATGACAAATGAGACATTAATTCTAAGAACATTTTTTAACTTAAAACCATTGTTTTTATTTTTAACCCTTTCTTTGACTTGGTGACATTTTGTTTCCTGTGATCTTCTAGGTCGTATTATCTCTCTCTGCTGGCATCCCTCTGGTACACTGATAGCTGCTGGCATGATGGACATGATAAAAATCTTTGATGCTGAGTCGGGTCAGTAGATACATTCCATCCGGGAGTTATTAGCATAATTTAAGATTCATGTTTGTTAACTGTTTGTTTTCTACTGCCACGTCAGGCCGTGCCACACACAGACTGCTGGTGGAGAGAGGAGTCGGAGCATCAAAGAGTAGAGAGGTGGTGGTTTGGAGCATCGCCTTCCTGTCTGATCACACTATCATCAGCGGTGACTCGGCAGGAAAGGTCCAGGTCTGGGATGGACTCACAGGGACTCTGGTCAGAACCCACCTAGTCACCAAGTGGGACGTTCTGGCCCTGTCTTCTTCCCAGGTAAGTGTGCAACCAATAATTAGAACATTCATAAACCCCTGATCTGAGGCAGTGTTATTGCACAGCCCATAGATCCAGTAACGTACAACTGTCCACATAATTCACAGGACGAGAGCAGCGTGGTAGCCGGGACATCAGAGGGCACGGTGGTCCAGTTTCAGTTCCTCTCCTCTAATGTTGGCCAGCAGGCTAAGGAATGGGTCCGAACAAGGACCTTTAAAAACCACTCCCATGATGTGAGGGGGCTCGCTCACACCGACACAGCTGTGGTTTCTGGAGGTCAGTGCTTTTTTGTTTTTGTTTACGTTAACCAACTTGGCAGTGTTATCCAAGGCAAAGTGTATGATATTAAAAGTTATGTCCAATATTATTTGAATGCAAAGGCATCATCACATCCTTTCAATTATTTCAGTTTAACCCCATGAGTGCTTCATCCAGAGGAGTTGAACCTCTCCTAACCTCTGCATAATGCCATCAAATCATGAACAAACCAACACAGAGACTTATCATGTTGGTGTAAGTTCAGATTTTTCAGTATTACTTTATTGTGATCTGCTGATATGAAAGAATATGGTAATGTTTTGTCAGGTATGGACACCCAACTGGTAGTGCGCCCCCTTTTGGACAAGGTGGAGAAGAACACCCAGGAGTCAGCACTGCGCAAAATTGCTTTCCCACATGTAAGCACGGTTCATCACCTTGTTATGTTGCAGCTATATGCTTTAACTGTTGCTAATTGATTATGCATTCAATACATGGTGATTACAAGGTTACAAATTAAAACACTTTTTTTGCAAATTGATTTAATATAAACTGAAGTATCACAGTGGCATTATTATTCAGACTGTTCTCTCTGACATTTGGAATGTAGCACAGGTGCCTCCCATCATAATATTTAAGATGTTTCTACCCTTTCATTCGGAAAGGCTTTCACCAGGACTCAGAGCTGATATAGCTACATTTGAAAACATTTAGCTAGATCAGCTGATGAGGGAAAAATGAATGAAAAAGATTTTAGCATAAATCTGCAATATAACAAACTGTGAAAAAGAAAGTGAGTATTTTTGGAATGCACTGTATAGGGGGCATCTTAAAGGCCAATGTTTCCATGACGACCTGCTAACCTCTGTGTGTTCCCTGTAGAGAAGCCTGGTTTGTTGTGCAAAGAAAGCAGGACTGCTGCTCTTCCAGTTCCACGATCATTTGGAGCTGTGGAGACTAGGGGAGAGTAATGGACATGGTGAAGGCAACACACATTCGCACACAACCAGTTACACATTATAATGTAAGCAGTAAAAGTAGTTGGGGACTGACTGCACAGCTGCAATACTGTAATGATTTTTTATGGTAACAGGAAGTCCTGGTGACAGTCTGCCTGTGAAGAGGAAACCAGAGAAGCTGATCCAGCTGAAGAGGAAGGTGTGTACTAACGTTGTGTATCTAAACCGATCAGCCATAACATTATGACCACTGACAAGTGAAGGGAAGAACATTGATTATCTCGTTACAATGGCACCTGTCAGTGGGTGGAATATGTTGCACGTGGAGAGCGAAGGCTGGCCCGTGTGGTCCGATCCAACCGAAGAGCTACTGTAGCTCAAATTGCTTAAACAGTTAATGCTGGTTCTGTTAGAAAGCTGTCAGAACACCAGGCGCCTACAATAGGCACGAGAGCATCAGAACTGGACCGCGGATCAATGGAAGAAGGTGGCCTGGTCTGATGAATCACGTTTTATTTTACATCATGTGTATGGTCGGGTGCGTTGCTCTCCTGGGAAAGACATGGCACCAGGGTGCACTATGGGAAGAAGGCAAGCTGGCAGAAACAGTGTGATGCTCTGGGCAATATTCTGCTGGGAAACATTGGGTCCTGCCATTCATGTGGATGCTAATTTGACTCGTACCACCTACCTAAACATATGTCCAAACAATTCACGAGCGTGCTCTGCACCCCCCCATAAACAAGTTTGATCCATGGATCGCAACTTATGGCGCATTTCCACTGCAGCGCTTAGCAAGGTTTAAGGGTGCCGTGCCAAACCCGGCCCGTTTTTTTTCACGGCTCCGCCTACACTGCGTTACCATAGTTACTGCCCCAGCTACTAAACTGTAATGGAAACGCAGCAAAGTGAGCCTGGCCTAACTATACCCTGGCCCTGCAGTGGAAATGCGCCATTACAGGACTTAAAGGACCTGGGACCAGATACCACAGCACACCTTCAGAGGGTTAGTGGAGGCCATGCCTCGACGGATCAGAGCTGTTTTGGGACCTACACAATATTAGGCAGGTGGTCATAATGTTATGGCTGATTGGTGTATATGTGTGTGTTTTTTAAATGTACACCTGACCTGAAATCTGGTGGAAGCCTGCTGCCTTACCCATCTGTAAGACAGGTCCAACAGTGATTTCAGTTATTCACTTCAGTTCTCTTTGTTTACTCTTGTTTGTCCGTTCCTCAGTCAGTACACCTAGAGGGATTTTCATAAGATGTGTAAAAGCTCACTGACCTCACAAAAAATTCTAATAGGATAAAATAATAAACTGATGACATTTGGAGAGATATGGATGTTAACTGAACATGACCAGTTTCATTGCATATAACCTTGAGGTGGTCATTTTAATTTAGTGGGAATGCTGATACAGCATTCCAACTATATGTTATTCTACAGACAAAATTATTATTATTCCGCCGGAATTTTGCACCTCTTCTCCTCCTGCATTCAACATCGCAGAAACTCCGTTCAAACATCAAAACGTTCAGCTCGGTCGGGAATCGATGGCTATTACTTTTATCATTCATAACTTTCATAATTCCAGAGATACATCCCATA